GGAGAAAGAAGTATTTTATTGAGAAGAAATTCAAAATAATACTATACAGTTATTATGATTTCTTGTGTTTTGTGTTATATTTACTTCTCCAAACTGAAATCTGATCTAATACCAAGATAACAGAACAAATCAGATAATTATTAACAGATAAGTGTTATAAAGAAGTAGATATTAAGTACTAATCTTTCCTAGTATAAAAACAATCCATTTCACATGAAGTTATAGCTATGGAATAAAAGTGGCCAAAAGAAAACCTATCATTAAAAGTAATGAAAAACCTAAGCTGGGTGTAGTAGTACATGCCTTAAATCCCAACACTCAGAAGGCAGAGGCAGCTGTATTTCTGTGAGTTAGAGGCTAATCTGGTCTACATAGTGAGTTACAGGACAGCCAGGGCTACACAGAGAAACCCTGACCTGAAACATATACGTGCACACACATACACACACAAAGAAAATAGATATAAATGTACAACATAGTAGTCATACGAAAAGGAACTACTCCAGCCACTGCTATATTGGCTGGCCTGGAAATAATAATTTCATACTAATACCTATTTTACAATTCTAAGATGAGACTACATAGATGACAGGACAAATTTAATATTATTAATTAAAATTTATCTTGTCCACAAACCTTTGAGCTTGGTATGAGGACTTTTAATTATATAAATAACTTTTTCACGTTTTCCTTTCCCTTTCTTGCCTTATGTATGTGTGTGTGTATGTGTGCTGTGGTATATGTCTTCATGTCCTGGCATGCATATGGTGGCCAGAGTCTAATATTGGATATGTTCATCTCTTGCTTTTCATCTTGTTATTTTGAAACAAAGTCTTTCACTGAATCTGGAGTTCACTAATTTGCTAGACTAGTTGGCAGTGAGCTCCAGAGATCTGCTTGTCTCTGAGGATCCATCTGTGTCAACAACTTTAGAACACCCCATGTTAGGAGTACAAATGTGTGCCCTGAAACCAGGCCTTTATGTTGGTGATGGGAATACAAAATCAAGGTCCTCATTTATGTGGCAAGCACTTTAACCACTGGACCACTGCCCCAGGCCAAACGTTATTTTTCAGTCTCATAGTTCTAATTTATTTTTTCTCTTGATTTTGTTGTCTTTTAAACATTAACAGATCATGTATTTTTATATTTTTCAATTATTATATTAAAGAAATAGTAGGTCATACATATTATACTTTGTTGAATTATTATATTAAAAATTAATCAAGTGCTGATTGCCTAGCTTTAAAATATTTACATTGTACTCTTCCCTTACCCAGCTTTCTCTAATCCTATGGTATTTCAATGATAATTGTTTTTCATGGAATTCTAAGACATAAATGTATATATTCAATTTTTAGATATTTTCTCTCTGCCTCTGAATATTAATGCAGCATTAATTTCTGCTGCAAAAAAAATTGCAATGAGATACAGGAAAAATATCTCTTGCAAAGAAAAGAGATTGAATTCATTAATTAATTTTCAGTGAACTGTTAGCTCTATTAATTCCTCTCCAATCTTTATCCTATCATGTCGTCTCATTGTAGATTTCCTGACTTGTATTTTCAGATCCTTATCTAAGCTTTAAGCCCACCAAAAATTACACACTCTGGATAATTGTACTAACCTTTAGAATTAAAAAACACAGTTCTAATAACACAGTTCTATCCATGCCCCCAAAGTACAAAGTCTTAGTTCTGAACCTGTAGTCATTTATTACTAGCTTCCTCCTGACAAAATCATAGCTATTGTGTTAAATATCATCCCAAGTACTATGACCTGGTCCTCTCTTTGTTTTGCTTCCCTTTACCAAATACTGCACAAGTTAGTTTTCCTTGCCCTTATACTACTTATCTACTTTCTTGTCGTCGGATATATAATTCTATATTCATTTAATTTAAAAAGAATATTTTTTAAAGTTTCTGTGTTCTAGCAATTTATAATCTGATAGACAGCAAAAGAGCCAAAGGGATAGTAAAAACCATACAAATGTAAACAATCCAAGAGACCGAATTGTTATAAAATTAGCAAGGAGGCTAGGTTGTAGTTCAGTCAGTAAAGTGCTTGCCTAGCATACTTAAAGCCCTGGGTATCATCCCAATATTACATAAACTGGGTATGGTGGCACACATCTGTAATCCCAGAATCCAGGAGGTAGAGCTAGGAAAATCAGAAGTTCCAGGCAACCCTGGGCTACATCAGACATTATCTCAAAAACCACAAAAATAATAGAGTTCAGAATAAGTTGCTAGATACTAAACAAACATTTATAAAAGGCATCTACATTCTTTTATCTTTTAGTTTTATGAAATGCATGCTAGACAAGTGTTCTCCAGTTGAGCTATATCCGCAGCCCTCTTTTTACTTTTCATTTTGAGACAGTATCTCACTACCTTTCCATGGCAGGCCTTGAAATTGCAACTCTCCTGTGCCACACCCTTACAAGTAGCCAGGATTATAGGCCTGTAACACCAGGCCTAATTTTAAAATATTATCTTTAAGATACAATATTTACAATAGCTACTGAATGTGAGCTAATTTTATAAATAAGTTATAAAAATATACCAAAGGAAATTTAAAAGTTTATATAGTGGTGAAACATATTTTTGTAGCAGAACATTTGCCTAACATGCATGATGACCTGAGTTTTGTCCCTGGCACTATAAAAAGTTTATACAAGTGAGAATATATCACATTTATCAATATAATGATTGAGTAGCATAAAAATAGTAAATCTGTAAGTGTTACTTCAATCAATAACCCAGTAGTTTTTCACTAATCATGAAAAGCTAATTCTTAATAGAATTCAGAAAAACAAGGAGTCAAAGCCAGTAAACACAGTATGTATGATGGCACAATACCTATAATACCAGGACTTGGGAGGGAGGCAGGAAGATACATAGAAGACAGCCTACCAGAAAATGAAAACAAAGAAGAGCTAACATAATATTTGAGAAGGACAAAACTGGATTTACTCTATTAAGACTATAGTAAATTGAATACTGTCCCCTCAAAACGTTTGTCTACCTAGCATATATGAATATCTTATCTGGAAGTAGGGTCTTTGCATTGTGATGAAGAAAAGGTCCCAGAGGAGATTGGAGAGATGGCTCAGTGGTTAAGAGCACTGACTGCTTTTCCAGAGGTTCTGAGTTCAATTCCCAGCAACCACATTGTGGCTCCTAGCACCATGTTGAGTTGCTCAATACTGCCTGTAAGTCCAGCTCCATGAAATCAGATACCTTTTTCTGGCCTAAGCAACCTGCATTCACAATACACATGTAAAAACAAATCTTATGCCTAAGGTAAATATTATATATTATACTAAATAATGGAAAATCAAAGCATCTCCACTAATAGCAGGAAGAGGCAAGTGCTTTCTGTATGTACTCTTACTTGATACAGTGCTTGGTGTATTAACTAGAGCATTAAGACAAGACCAAGAAAAGAGATAAAAATAAGAAAGGAAGAGGTCACACTCTCCTTATTTAGAGATGAGATGATTCTATACCTAAGAGACTCTATACACCACCAGAAAACTTCTAGAACTGGTAATTACTTTCAGCAAAGGGGCAAAATAGAAAAATCAGTAGTCTTCCTGTACACAAATAACAAATATGCTGAGGGAGAAATTAGGAAAATAGCCTCACTCACAATTGCCTCAAAATAAAAGTAAAATGATATTCAAACAATGAAGTGAAAGACCTCTACAATGACTTTCAAACACTGAAGAAAGAAGATAATAGAATGGAAGATTCCCCATGCTGATGAATCAGAAGAATCAATATTGCAAAAATGGCTATGCGACCAAAAGTTACAATATGCAGATTCAATGCAATGCCAATATCAAGATTCTATTGCTACTGACAGGTAGACTCTAATTTCTTTTCATTTCACAGAAATAGAAAAGAGAATCTTAGAATCCATATTGAAACACAATACACCTAGGATAGCCACAAAGAATAATACCAGGGCTATTAACATACCTGATCGAAATTAGTACAAGCAAGGCTACGATAAACCAATTGTGTATGCTACCCTATATGAAGACATGAACATAGGGTCTCTTCTCTGAATGATACTAAATTCAAGAATAAGTGGCATCCTAAAAACTGTCAAGGTCATGAGTGTCAAAGCAAGATGAAGAAGTAGTCCAGAGAGGAACAGCCTAGAGACTATAATCATAGATTAAATCTTCTTTTTATATAGGTCACAGCTGGAAAAGCTATATCTCAACTCTCTGGATAAAAGATATGTGAGTTATTACACTGTTTTTGTAACTTTTGTAAGCATGAAAAAAGTTTAATATTTAAAACTGAAAAGGGTACCTAGGACATTATAAGCAATGTAGAAATATATAAATTCAGTTCTACATTAAACAAAATATTTAAGGGAAATTAACAATCTCACAAGTATAATTTATAAAACCTTTGACACATTTTCTCTAATATCCAACTATATCTCTGTTATTAATCCCTCTGTAAGAGTAAAGCCTAAACCAAGCATAAACTCTGAAGGAAAAGCTGGCCAGTGGGAAGGGGGGGGGGGACAAGAAAGGGAAAGAAGAAAAGCAAAAGGCTATATTTAGAAGTTCTGATGAGACCCAGTGAAGAAAGAGCAGCCATTATCCTATTGAATCTCTCATACTTCCAAATCCCAGTATAGGAAAATACTAAGACAGTGACATTAACTGCATTCAGCCTCGTCAGCAGGGAAATAAACTCATTTTCCTCTCTGATTATATAGCATGAAATCTTAGCAAAATCATATGACAATAAACGGATGAACAAAGAAATTTAAGAACTAATCGGCTTCACCTTTTGAACGCCCTTTCTGATATAGAGCAAGAGAAAACAGTTATTTTAAAGATTAACTAAAAAAGTAGAACTGATCTCAAATAGAACCTCCAAAAGGCTCCACACAGCAGTAATAACTCTTCGTGGACTTAATACAGCATATTCCGAAGCTCTTGGGGGAATAAGTGCAGAAATTTCACTCACCATTCCAGGGAGCCTCATCAGCATATCTTTACAACGTAAGATGCATGTAGATGCTTTCTTGAAATCCCCTTGAGTAACAGCCTAAAAAAGGTGTCAAAAATTGGTTAAAATGAAATGACAAGATAACTGTCTCACAGTCTTATTTATTTTATCTATTTACTTGTGCGAGCACGAGTGTGTGTGTGTGTGTGTGTGTGTGTGTGTGTGTGTGTGTGTGTGTG